AAAACAAAACACCAGGTCCGGATGGTTTACCTGGCGAATTATATAAAAATTTATCCGAAATATTTGAACCAATGCTTCTAGAATTATATAATGAGGCATTAATGGAAGCTAGACTCCTGAGGTCCTGGTCCGAGGCATACATCTCTTTAATTTCAAAAGATGGCACCGATCAACAACTAATTGCGAATTATAGGCCAATCTCATTGCTAAATACGGATTATAAGAATTTTAATGATACAAATTAATTTACATCTAAAACAATTACTATTGGTGGAGATATACACCCTTAATGATAACCAGAAGAAGTTTTATATGGGACTATTTGATAAAATATCATATACAGTATATCAAATTAAAAAGCTGAACTTTGGCACTAATATAGAAAAAATATTACAAGAAATATACTCAAATCAAAAAGCGAGTGTATTATTAAATCGAGATCGCACTGAAGATTTTGAAATTGCAAAAGGAGTGAGACAAGGGTGTTAGTGTTTGGGGATTAACCCCTAGAAGAGTATTGCAGCAGTAGTCAAGCCAGGAAGGGCCCCAGAGTATACACACACTGAACACAAACACTGTTTGTAGTTTAAATAGTTTTTAATCCATTTAGAGCTTAAAGCATTGTCATTCAGTCCATTAGTCATTCACTATATTTCCATCCAGTAAGACTCACTATTACAGTCCAAGTTAAGAGTCCTTACAATATCTTTATCAGCCGATAAAGATATCTTCTCCTCCTCCGGTGCCTCTCTCCAGAGGAACTAACGCTGGATATTCAGCAAGACGCTCAAACAGTAGAACAGTTGAATTCCGCAGTAAATCAGCAAACAGTAGCAGACAGTATCATATCAGTCACAGGCACAGTTACAATAAGACACAGTTAGTCGCAGTAACACACAGTCGCAGTAAGCTTTCCAGCTTCTAATGCTTCCTTATATTGTAACTTCTAACCGCACCCTTAATCGGCTAATTGCCTGCAGCATTGTGCTTAAAGTGATAAGCACTTAAACCATGATATCTAAGTTTTATATATTTATTCACCCAAACCATATTTGGTATCAATGTTATACCTAACAAAGGGTGTCCACTGCAGTAATAAATCAGCTTCAATAGTTTCGGTACATACCAGGCCTCAAGGCCTCAAGGCCTCACGTAGGCTGAAAGCGTGTACCAGGAACAAAGAACATCAATCAACAACACGTCATCATGGG